CAACTGATTTGAAAAGCTCTCAATCAGACCCTCCATTGCCCACTATTATTTGCACTCTCTAACAAACCATCAATTGCCTAATGTAAACAAGGACAAATTCTTACTTGAATTGGCAGAAAATATCTGCATATTCAGGAAGGATGCCGCTGGCCTGTAGCACTGTCACACGGAAGGTAAACACGCTACCCAGCTTCAAGTGATCACCAATTTCCTCAGTGAATCCTTCCATAGTCATCTTTCCATCCAAAGTGGCTGACTTCAAGTCTTAGGGAAACACAAACATCCGACATGAAATCACTTCTTTCTTTTTTTCTTTTGTTTTATCCTTTCTTTTCTTAAAATATTCCTTCAGGCAACAGTTTAGTCCCATCACAATTTTTTGTTTTTCTTTTGAGTCCAAATTATTTGCTGATAATCAAAATTCCTGGGAACAGTTTTTCTGCACAGTTCCTCAAACGAGTAACTCCAACATCTACCATATGCAACCCATCAGTTACACCTCTCCCCACCTATGATATTCTTGACGGACACTCAGAACCTCTTTCTACCACTGACTGAAAGTGTCCCAGATTTCCCTTAAGTTATCCAAAACTACCACATATTTCTCACTTACCCAGCTCATTCATTCTGTTGATCTCCTCTGGAGGAGTGGTAACCTCTGTATTCTGTCCTTGCCCCTCCACAATTCTTAATTCTTCCAATGACAGTCCAGAGCGAGTCATTGCAACCGAAGAAAAATCACTCTGAAAAATTAAATGAAATGGCATGTAACAGACTCCTGCAGCTTCTGGTTTTGCCATACCCTTCTTCCCCCGCAATGCTTATTCTTTATTTAGAAGCACAAATCACTGCACTCAAAGAAACCGAACTCAATTTTAAGACTGCTTACCTTATCAAAATATTCATTGTCGAATGAAATTTTAGCTGTGCCAGACTGTCGAATACCAGATCCGTAATCTGGGGCTTCTTCATCAGCTAAAAAAAAAAAAAAAGGAAAGAAGATGGGGAGGAGAGGCACAAACCCTCAGAGTTATTGAAATGAAAATTCTGTTTACAATGGAAACCAGTCCATAAAGCGGAAGAGGCCTGGTTCTAGTCATCCAATAACAGATTAGAGTAAGTGCTTGAAAAAAATCACAGGACAAATCTGTCCATCAGGAACTCAAATGTCACAAAACAACAAGACAAGCTATGAAGTTTCATAGACAATTCTGAATGTGAAACAGCTTTAGTACTCATTTTGACTATTTATTTACTTCTGATCATTATACCTGAGGGAAACTAACATACAGTAATAAAACGACCCACGCGGGAATGTATATTTACATTGACTTGAACTGCCATCTAAAACTCTGTGGCCATCAACTAAGCAGTAACACTAGTGAAGCTTCACAAGTATATGCTGTACGTTTGAAAGGTGTTTCTGTCCGTACAATCTGTCCATTTAACCTCCTCCTCTTTGTGGAGAGTAACAACAGTGAGGCCTGGTTAAATGCAAGATTTTTCTTGCACAATAAATGCATGCTCGCAGGAGAAATCCCAAGATTCAGAATGTGTTCCAGGCTTTGCTTAGGGACCAAATAATGCTGTGGCCCTTTTTCAAGAGATGTCCCCAGTTCAATCCTATTAGCCGTGGTGTATTCTTTTTATTTGGATGGATAAATACTTGGAAATATTTGGTCAATGCTAAGGAGACCAACCCAAATTAGAAATGAGACTTTGTACATATTAAAGTAGATTTTATTTCACTTGCTGTTTTAGTCCCTGCCAGAGTGATTCTTACACATCTTCAGAGTCTGAGATTTCATTACAAGTTCCCATGGAGAGTGAAACTTCCAGGGTTACCCTACCTAAACAATACAGAAACGTTGGCAGTTAGCCACTGCTAGAAAGGACAAATTATGGGAAGTATCTGTGCCGTCACCAGTATGGATAAGACATGGCTAACTACCAACAGTAAAACTCAACTAGATCACCTCATACTGGAAAAGTATAAAATATTAGCAGCTGACTAGCAGACTGCAGTTAAGCTCCGGCACACACGCAATGGCAGTTCAAAACAGGACGAAGCAGTTACCATCCCCATATATCTACCCTGCTCTTCCAAAAAGCTGCTAATTCTTGGTGATTAAACAGCGTGTTAAAGCAGCTTCTAAGTCTCAACACATTTTAGTGAGTCAACGAAGTGAAAAACTGCTGCTGATTCCTGTTTATACTATGCTAAAAACATTCAGGAACTTCACAAGCTATTCAGTCAGATAATGCAAGAGCATATTTCTGCGCATTATTTGAAAGGACAGTTTGAGAAGAGCAAACATGGTACATTTAACTTTTCTGCAAGCCACCACAACTATCAAACTTGCATATACCCTTGTCCTCTGTTTATGCCAGGTGCCAGAAAGAAAACCTTTGCTTTATTTTTAGTTTTTCGAGTTACAGACACTAGTTAGCCCTTTCGCTGACTTAAAAAGCAGTGTTGCATTAGTTGCCAGGTACAAACTTCAGTGCTCGATACCATCAATTTAAAAGCTTCTGATCAGTAGCATTATTTCAAGATTTATTCATGCTTGGTCCATACGATTCACACCAATGAAAAAATTTCAAAAGCAAATTAGTAATAAAGAACAAACGTTCATTTCAACACTAAAATTACTCAGGTTTGTGTTTAAAAGACGATGGTTTGATTTGGTTGCCTGTTTTTAAAGCTGCAGCTATTCACAGTGTATCAAAAGAGTTGCAATGTAAAGTTCTCAGAGTATCTCACCTGCTATAGCTTGCACTGCTACTCGCAGAAATCCTCGTACTTCTCCTTTCTCGCTAACAACAGCTACTCTGTGAATAAGAGGCACTGGGTACAGCAGATTGCTCAGGTATACAAATGCTCTGGTAACAGGAAGGAAAGAAAACACGAACAGCATTAGGCAATCATCTGCAAACCAGACTGCTGCACTTGGTCTACTTCACTCCATCTATTAGACCTGCTCTGTGGTCATGTAGCCATATTGTCCACACAGGGCTCTGCAGCAGTGTCAAAGCTAAGTGAAGCCACAAAACACCCCAACTCAGAGTACACTGGAGACACAGGGCTAATATTAGTGAGTTACAAAACATATGAAGGAGACAATTTAAGATGATGGCCTTACAGAAGGTAATTTTAGATGCACTACAGTTGTAAACGGAGCTGTTAGCAAGATGGCAGAAGTCTGCTAAGGAGCTACTGATTATAAAGAACTGTTTGAGCTTTCCAGCCCATGAGTGTAGTTTGAAGTGATAAATTAAAGAGGAATTGATCTCCTGTGTCCACACAGGCTCAAATGTTTTACTGAACATAAAACAAACACTCTTCAAAACGGAATGTTTTCTTTCCTCTATGTTCATTTAATACCATTGTATAGAGTAATCAGAAATCCCCCATAAACCATAAGTCATCTCTTAGGTTTCTTGGAAGATGCACTGAGTGTACAGATAGTGGAAGACTGATAGTCTTCACAGGTGAGTATCTTTAGGACTACTATATTTAAAAAAACAAAACAAAACAAAACAACAAAACCACCCCAAAACCCCACCACAACAGTACTCTAGAGCAATCATTTAGAAATTACAGTTTACAATGGGAAAAGCAGCATTCAGGCCAAGTACCGGATGATCCTGCCACACACTAACTTTTAGAGTTATATACAAGCAGGGTCTATTTTGGAACAGTAAGTTAGCAGGTTTTATTGTACAGACTTTTAATTACAAGTTAGACTAACGTTATTATTTTATGTTTCTGCAATGAATTGCAAAAGTTCTTAAAACACCACACTTCAGTGTGATGAGCTTGAGCAAAACTTCGAATGCTGAGAAGCCAAACAAGTCAAGTAAAGAATGGGTCTCAACATGAGGAAAAAATGGAAGGCTTAATTAATTGAGCTGTTTCAGAGTTCAGAAGACTACTGAGATGCATGGAAGTTTAACCAATAGTTTTACCAGCCATTAAATTTAAAGTGACTAACCAGTTATATATGTAAATTTTATGAATTTATGTATACTAAATTATGCTAAACACCTGTCATTTGTTGAACTGGATTTCCTACTTGCAGTCCTTTTTATTAGTATTTATTATTAAGTGTAATTAATTCCTCAAATTTATAACTGTTAGTTTAATATTCATAGCAACAGTCCTGCACGACAAAAGAGGACTGAGAGAGAAATAAGGATGTTCGCTGCCTCTGTCTGTAGAATTTGTTTCATGAACACAGCAAGACTAATCTGAACTCAATTCCTTGTGACACACAGCTACGGACCAAAGCTAGAAAAGGGAAGTGTTTCTCCTTGGGTTCACATGCCCGTTCCCACAATGAATGAATTATCTTGAAATGACAAGGTAGTCAAACAGGTGTCAGTTGTGAACCAAAGAGACAAAAATAATGCTACTGAAAAACAAAGTGGTGACATAATGCAATAGAGAAGAGAATGATTAATAAGGCTATAAAAGTAGCAAAACATAAAATGAAGAAAACCATACAATAAAAAAAACAACTGCAATGTAACACAACTAAGATTAGGATCTAATTCCTTTTCAGTCTGCTCCAAAGTGAGGTAAGCACTGATAAAGCCAGGGAAGGGAGAAAAGACTAAATTTAAAGTAACAAAATGGGAAGTTTAATCTTTTCGGTTTTTCTCTAAGAAAATAGTTTCATTTTTAGCTTTGAAATTTCAGGTGGTGCTCATCTGAGAAAGCAGCTTCCCACCATACAAGAAAACAGTCTCTTACACTAACAAACTGGAATTGTTCACTTGGACTGGACCAGGGATGGAGTTCAGGAAGGTATGTAGTTATCTGCTCAACATGAAAAACACACGCAGTTTGAAAACCACATTTCAAGCTAGGGAGAACGGACATTTTTCCCCAACAGAAAGGAATCTAAATCGCCTTGCATTTGTATGTATACAGGAAGAGACAGTTTCACTAAGAGAGGCAGTCATTACAGAAGCTTTCCTACTTCAAAGCCAACTAGTGGAGAGTGAAAGCATTAACTGCACGAAAAATAAAAATATATTTTCATTCGCATGGCTAAAGCTCTGAAGCTGCTGTTCAACGTACGACAGCCAAAGCATGCAGCTTTATTAGCAACTACAATTTTGTCAGCTCAGTAAAATAACCATCCCAAAGAAAAAGTATTTCTCATCTTCTTTAACTTCCTTCCATCCAGTCACCTAGCTCACTGGATTCATTTTAACTTGGAGAAAGAAGAGCACACAATGCAAAAAGTTTTAAGCTTCCTCTGTGGTGATGAAAATGCAGGATCTCTTCCGTAGAATGGAGAGCAAAAGCACATTTGCTGTACAGAGAAAAGAGCTGGTTTATGCAGCAATACTGCCTTCCAGTGCCATTCCATCTGCTTCATCACAAGACAGTACCAAGTTAGGAGTGGATGAAATCTTAAGGTTATCCTCCTCCTCTTCCCACACCTGGGAGGACTCCCACTCCCCAAACATCCCATATGCAAGTGTCCCCCTGCACCTTAGCCCAGCAGACTGAAAGAGGGGGAGCTGTATTAGCAGAAAGATTGGTGAGGTAAAATGGCATACTCACAACAAAACCAGAAATGAAATTTAACAAACACAATTGTTTTAAAAAAATCAAAACAAAAACAACAGAACTCAGAATGACGACGGATATTTTTTAAATAAACACATCAATTCAAGATTAAATAAAATATCCCACAGTCCTCTCCCACCTCCCTTAAAAACATAGCAAATGCTTGATACGTCACACCATTAAATAGAATCAGACTTAAAGACAGCCCAGCATGCCAGAAGAGATGGCTAAAGGGACCAGCTCTTTTTCTTTTTTCCTTTTCTTTAATAGCTATAGTACAAATAAAAGACAGTCACAGCACAGAGAGAGAGAAAAAAAAATACTGTGATGCCCAAGGAGTTGGATAACTACATGATCAACTTCTCCTCCTCCTCCTCTCCTTCGTGACCTGGACTCTACTGCTGATGATCCCCTTCCAAAAATATTTAAAGTTATTTTATTTTTGTTCTACATATTCCACAGCATATAAACCAGTACACAGTTAATTCTGCATTAAGGAGTTTTGGTTTTGTTATAAATTGAACACTCCCTTGTGCTCAAGACGGTATCTATGTAGATGGACATACCCTTTGATACTTTTAAGTCACACTGTTCAAAAGAATTCTCATGCTGAAAGACACTGAGGAATGAAAATAGGTTCCACTCAGTGGTGCCAAACAATCCAACAGCTTTCTGCTGACAGAGTCAGCACAATAGAAGAACAGAACAGAAATAGAAGCAGAACAGAATAGAAACCAACTGGGAAAAAGTCATTCGGCTGTCTACTCAGAGATAATACAAACTAAGTTTCATTCCTCAACACAATTTACAACCCAAGTAGGTTCCTTAATATGTGCAGCTGACATGGCTCAGGCTAGTACCCTGAGCTGCTGTAGCTTCACATGTCTGTCTACAGAGACAGAGCTCAATATTCTTTTGAATACATGGGAACGGGAAGCAAGTTGTGTAACTGCCAGGAAACACGACTGTTTTCATTATACACTGTATTTGCTCAGCTTGTGCTGTGCTTCCTGAAGAGTCTGTGAAATGAAGATGAATAGCTCCACTTTTTCCCAAGCACTGAAGGTCCCGCTCTGAAAGAACACGCACAACAGGAGAATATGCTGAGTATGCCAGCGCCGTTACAAGAAAGCAGTCCTAGCCATTGCAGACAGCACACATATGCTTCAACTAGCTGACGAGCGCTTCCAAGCCAGGAAGATGGCTTTCCCAAACTGACTTTTATTGATCAGATTAAGCTGAAAGAATTAAATTTTCTAAAACACGTTATCAGACATTGCACATAAGGGCACAAATCCACAAGGATCAGAGGACCAATGCAATTTCTTGCATCTTCAGTAACTGCAAATTTTGTTTCAAAAACTAGATCAAGGAAGTTCCAAGTTTTAATCACAGCTTGTAAACAGGTCCACTAAAGACAAAGAATGAGGTTAGACAATACAGCTAAACTGATCTAAAAGCTTGATAAAAGACTGACAAACTCAGTCCGTCATTTTCACAAATAATACAACCAAGTTTCCTCAGCTTTTGAGGAAACTGCAAAAAGATCCCTCCTTCCTGACCGTGAAGTCTTCCCTGCTTGTTGCCACAGAAAAAGATGAAGTCAAACTCTGGTCCCTTCTCCTTTGTTCCTCCCTTCCGTCAGCCATGGAGTCTTATTTGTACAACACCTGCAGTAACCACCTCCCTTACTGTTTTAGCAAGCAAACTGGCTTACAGAGTGATCAAATAAGCAAAAACACATAACTGGGGGAGTGGAAGCAGAAGAAAGTGAAGCAAAGTCACTAAATAAAATCTGGTTTTTGTCACAAGTAGCACGTTTGAGCAAGCCTATCTGTCAAGAAACACTGCAAAGTACTACTTTTTTAACACAACTTGCTGTCCTCAGGGTCTCCATCACAGAGTGAGGTCTGATAATGCCTTAATCATATCCAGAAAATAGATAACACTCTAAAATACACTAAGCAAACTTGTTTGAGAAATTCAAGCATAGTGCATGGGGAAACCACTGATGAACACTACCAGCCAGTGAATTTCAATGATGATGACCTTTCACTACACAATATTTGCTACCAAGAGTCACGCAAAATCTGCGAAGCCAAATCATCTCAAAGAACACTCTTCTCCTCATCCAGAAAGGACCATTCTTCTTTCTCCTCATGCCATCTTTCCTCTTCAGACACCGAGGATGTTAGATGAGTTTTCAAAAAATGGATTAATTGGACTGGACTTAAAGACTTTCCACCACACTCTGAAATTCTCTTCTACGGGACAAAATTGCACACCACAACACTATCTTAGTGATCTTGCAATGGCTAAATAGAGCATTCTATAAATAATGCTTGAACACTGTACACAAGCAAAACCACATTCATTCTACGTTGTGACAGTTATCTAGAAATAGATTTACTCACTTTGTCACATCTAAGGGTTATTTTCTCAATTACTGTTTAGGTCCTCACGGCCTCTGACATGGAAATTTAAAACTTAATGTTAAACTACACTCATTCTCTGGCAATTCCAATTTATGTATAGAGATATTTTGGCTGGTTTGACAGATATTCTATGCAGCACAAGGCAAAGCCATTGCAGTCTACAGCAAGAGCTGGTCCCTTTTGGCCATTCTCACAGTAACCTCACCAACCTTCCCACTAAAATGAACCAAGGGGATCGGTCGTAAAACGGGTCGCGCCCATCATTGAAGAGGTCCGATCCCTCCTCAGTTCCAACGTCGGAGCCAGTATCATCCACAAAGGCCTCATCATCAAAGTCCTCCATCTCATCCTGCTGTTCATCAGCCAGTTCAGTGATGTCGGAGTCAGCCGTGGAGAAAGTGGGGGAGGGCGTGCGATCAGCAAGACGCTCATTCACGCAGCCATGGAATATGGGGGAGCTAGATATCAGTTAACGGAATACCAATTGTTAACAGAGTGAGGGGAAAGAAGAAGGCTTCATTTAACAGCCGTCTGTTGCCATCAGCACAGAGACCACCTGAACAACAAGCAAAGGACCAGCTGGACTGCAATGAAACGTAAGGGAAGGGGCTGCTAACAACGTCAGGAGAAAGAGCATCCTTGAACTGAACAGAAAGCAGATGAAAAATGAATATAAACATGGCCGAACATACAGATATTGAGAGCACATCCATTTAACAGAGCTACAATTCTTATTTCCAACAGGTAGCATTTTGTAAATAAAAATATTGTAAAGGTGCAGCTGACATCAGGAAATATTAAAGAATCCCATCAGATATCAGGTATTTCCATAGGGTATGACCAAACTATTTGAACCACATAGGTAAGGTAGGCCCTGGGCCACTTTTCCCCTCAGTTTCCAGTGTTGTTGATATTCTCACTCCTCTGCTCCAGTGATGTTAGACAGAACTTAGTTAGCTACGTTTTTTAAAAATAAACTTAGAATTTACTAAGGTTTCAGTCAAATCAGATTCTACAAGGTTACACCAGAACTGGCAACACTTAAAAGGGCATTTTCTGCTCTTCACAGTATCTTACATCTATCAGAAATCCCTGAAAGACAACACACACACAACTAACACTAGTGGCCATACAGTTTATAACCACATTCCAAGTCAAAGTCCATCCAGAACTGAGAAGAGTCACCAGTGTACCAGCAGTCGGGATTATCGTCACATACCTTCCAACAAGCTTGAACCAATGAAAGCGATCATAAAAGGGGTCACTGCCTGTCATTGTGCTTTCACCCTCGTCCTGGGTATTAGATGCCATTTCCCCAGCTCTATCATACATCTCACGCATCAGGTCCAACCTCTGCCTGCAGAGAAGAAAGCAGCATTCAAAAATAGAGAGTGAATTAAAAAAGCAGAGAACACAAAGTGGGCTACACTGACTTCACCTACACCAATTACACATGGGAAAGGGAGAATAAACAACAGAGGAGTCTGTACCGCTAAGTTTGCTACTGCACTAATTCTCTGACATGTTCGGGATTCTGGGAACAATTTTGTAGTCTAAGCCCACTAAGCACAAGGCAAGGTCACTGCAGAAGGTTACATACATCTTTGATTTCATTCAAACTTCTAAATATTCTTCTTTCACAGCTAATTCTGGCCTATTTTTTGCTTACTTTTTTGAATCAGACAACGCTGCTAATTTAGGCAGAATTTCCACTCCTGAAATGTTGACATTTTGATTCAAAAGTGAACTGATTCCATTACAGACTTTTATTTATTTTTTTATTGAAGAAAAAAAAAGTGTGCCACACTGCAAGATCCTTCGTCTGGAAGTTATTAGTGGAAAAAATGTTCTTCAGTCAGTATTTAAAGAACGGGGAAAAGACAAATGTCTTTTGACTATTTGCAAGAATATGACAAAAATAATTCAGATTACAGTCAGAATTTGTGTAGCTTCCACAGAATCTTCTTTATTTAATCCTTTTATTATAAATTATGCTCTGTGCTACCAGGTTATATAAAAGCAGGTGGCAAGGAAACTTTTGCAGTGAAAGGAATATGAAAAAAAATAATGCAGAGAGATGAGCTGTGATAAGCCTTATTAGATTTAAAAAAATCTAACCTGAAGTTACAAAAATTAAATGTGGATGTGAAGTAAAATGCTGGAGAACAAATGCCCTTGTTTAAAGAACCTAGCAAGCCGGTATTTAAAACATACCACACTGTCTGGAAAGAGGGCACTTGGGAGGACAGAGAGAAAATACAAGTACAACAGAGAACGAACAGCAAGGGGTGAAATTTTTCAGTGCAGGTCCTTGGATATAAGGAAGTTTGTGCCTCAGTAATATTTACATACTTGAGTTTTTCTAAGGACCAGTAATGCGTTGCTCCATTCTTCAGATCCTGGACTTCCACAGCCACCACTGTACGGGGGAAAGGCCTATTGTCCCGGGTCTTCTCCAACTCAGTGGGCAAAAGCTCTGGTGGCAGTGGTGAGTAGAGGGTGTCTGTCAGCAGGACAAATTGAAACTGGACCTGAATGGAAAAAAAAATATTTCTGAGAAGTCAGGTATCAGTATCACAAAGGGGCCAGAGATCTAACCTAAGGCAACATATGAAGACAGTTTGACTTTCATCTCTGTGAAAAGATTCAGGGGTTTTATGTCACACTTTTTTTTTGGTCTCAAAATGGCACAAAACATATTTTTCAGCTGAGCACCCGTATCTTGCCTTTATTGTCACAGCTAGCAGAGGTCTGGAAAGCTATAGACCTAGCACATCCTGCAGCACCCACTTCTCTTGGTAAGAGGAATGACCACATGAAGTTCGAAGCAAAGGGAAAAGACAGGGCCCTGGGGAGCAGTGCAGGTACGTGTTTTTATGATATTGACAGGAACGGCATAAGGGAAATGAAGAAGAGGAGAATCTATCAACCAGATTTGCATAGGATGTTCATTCAGCCACAAGTCTGAATCAGAGACTCGTGATTTTCTGAACCCTTTTAAAGCCCAAACTAATAAGCAAGAGACGTACAACTCTTAAGACTACAAGTAACTCTGAGCATTTGAAGCAGGATTATACAATCAAAATCGATGGGTCAGAAAATTCAAAAAAGGTATTCTGCATGTCCCTACCTTCTTCTTTAACTCTACACTGATTGCATTGGCTTCTTTCAGATATACTGCATTCCCCCAGAGTTGGTCCCTCAGTGAAGTAAACTGGTGAAATTTCCACTTCCTGAAAGCCCATTGTGCAAGTTCATACTCATGTCGTGTCCAGGGCACTAGGAGGAGCAAACAAACAGAGTAATAAAACACCGTGGCTTCTTCTCTAAACCACCACACGCAGTATCTAATACTACTGCTGACTGTGTCATCAAGTTCCCGACACCTTTTCTGGAAGAGAAGAAAACAAAACCCTGTATTTTTATTACTCAGTGAGGAAAAACTGGATTAAAACTTCCTCATCACTAACAGTGGAGATACAAAGATGAAGTAAGGAGATTTGGTACAGGAAAAAACCCAAAATAAATTCTACGCCTATTACTTTAAATTAGTTAACAATTATTAAAACCAAATGCTGACAGTGGAATGAAAGGAAATATTATGGTAATAATAAACTCTATCTACTGTCCAGAAATGGAGTTATACAGACATGGCACAGCATGAATTCTAAGAACTCCACCAAGGAGAAAAAAGAAACTTCAAAATCAAAACAAGGAAACAAAGGCAACTATTATTTTGGTTTAAGACATCTGAACTTTGTTAGTGCCAAGAAGAGACAGATTCCTTCAAATTCAAGACCACCAAAACAAAGCTCATAGTTAAACTAATCTACTTTGTGCATCAGTTGAATTTGGGGATGTGTATCTACTGTGTATGTGGGACTTATCCTATGAATAGGTATTTTACACCTTTATGCTGTGAAGATTACAGATCAAGAAGTTATGAAGCGTTTCGCAGCTTTCCAAAGTGAGTTTTCCATCTACTGCAAGAGATATTATAGCAACTGTTGCTTTAGTCTTATCTGAATTATATCCAAATTATTTTTAGCTTCAAACTCACCTTCTTCTTCTTCTTCTTCTTCCTCCTCCTCTGTTGTTTCAGCTGCCAAGGATCTTGTCTCTACCTGCTTCTGTAACGCCTGCAGCTTACTCTCATAGTCCTGTGGGGAGAGAGGAGATACCGTGTAGGAGGACAGAGAAAAGCAAGGAGGACAGTTAAGAGAGACTAACACCTCAGATGGAATGACAGACGCAGAGAACAAATACATAAAGACATTTCCATTAATGTCAGAGGTCACATACCAACATCTATTGTTTTAGTATCTGTCCTTGAAAAGAGGAAAGACAGAGGCCAATACAATTATGACAGTAGTGTTGGGTTTTTTAAATCATCAGATACACATGCTCATAGGATCTGTAAGAGGGAAAGGTTTAGGATTTTTTCTTGCTAACGACCAGAAAAAGGGCATTTTTGGGGGAACCTGCTTGCTGCTTTCAGGGAGGTCGGAAAGAGGCAGAAACAGAGAAAAGTACAGAAATAAACTTAAAAGGGGAGGATTATTCACCTTCATTTTCTCAAACAGAAGGATTAACAGCACCACTGATTTGCCTTTTGATACAAAAAAAAATCATTTCAGATTAAAAAAAAAAAAGACATTCTGTTTTCAATTCGATTTTCCTCTTGGGATGCAAGTATCAATCTCTCACTTGTGTATTTAATACATCAGAAGATGAAAAAAATACCACCGCCTTGGCAAGCGGGCAGAGAAGTCTGCAGAGGTTTCCCCACAAGGAGCACTTCAACAATACCTTCTGGTGTAAGAGCATTTTCTTGCTGTTCAGCGTAACTGTGCCTTGAAATAAATGCTACTAAGACCTAATGACCCTTTTATTATTTGCCAGCGAAACAAATACAAATTCAAGACATTTAGAACAGACACGAGTCACTGTGCTCCTGGTCTCAGAGCCTACCTCACTACTGTACTTTATTTGTTTAAGATAATCTTTTGGCATACATTACAGGAGTTGCAACAGCAATTCACTAAGAGCGTTATAGAGTTCTTAAGGAGAATTCTTGAAGCCACTCCTCTTGTATTCCAACCTTCTCTCTTCCACAGTTCAAATCCTAAAATTCTTCTCCAATGCACCGCTTGCAGAAACGCATGTTTAAGTCTAACTGCTACAGAAGGAAAGCTTTACACACCCTATTTAAGCATCTCACCTAAACAGCGACGTTACTTCGTTTTTGTATGGCAATTATAGTACTTAACACTGCCACAATGTGATTGCATCAAATCTAACCCAGCTTTGGTCAGAAAGACCTTCAGACAGTATCTGGAAAGGAGATAAACCTGAAGTACATTCCTTTAAGTTTATAAGTAATATTTCCTGGAGGTAGTGTTAAAAAACAATAGCTGTGCTCTTAGAAAGTGCAGAATTTTAATACCATTAATTCAATAGTGATGATGACCTTTAGCTTGAGAAAACTGCACTATTAAAGATACATAGCCTTTGTATGAGGGCTGCATTTTATTTTTCTAAATTCCTCTTGAAATTTTATTTGGCTAAAACGTTCCTTCTTCTTTATTTACGTCTGCTCCATTCACTGCAAGATGGCTATGTACTCACAGTGCAAGTAAACCGTAGCCCACCAGCAAAAGAACTACAGACAAAACAAACATATATCCTTTCTTTTGGTATTACTTCTGAAATCACCTTAAGGATTCACCAAAAAATTATTCTAGACTCAATGAGGACTTTCAGACCCATCTACAGTTCTGAAATACCCAGCATACTCTTAAAAAACCATTAACATAAAGGCACTCCCTCTGATCTTTCCACCTCCCCTCCATCCATGTAGATATTGCTATTACATTTGAAACCAGGATGAAACAGCTCAGATGTGAAGTGACAGAAACAAGCTTCTCTTACTTGCAAGGATGGGCAAAATAATTTATTTCCTGTAGTCTGAAGCAGATAATCTGAGGATGTCATTTTGAGCTCCTACACTGTAGAAATGAACAAGTGAAAAGCTCTTCAAATAGTGTTTAAACAGAATCTTTGATCAGATTCTTTTGGGGAAACAGAAAAGCTGCAGAGGGAATGGTCAAAAATCAGGAGCATTCCACTGTGAAACTTCTACTTCCAGCATGAAAAACCCAGGCACATTAAGTTCATTCAAAGACAAAGACCTGCTTCTTATCTTCTCTATTTTCAGACTTGTGAGCCAAGTATGTGTATCTTCTGTACATTTAAATACCTTGATAAATAAATGCTTCACATAAAGCAGACACTTTTTATTGACATTAGTTTTTTAAAACTAAGTAAAAGAATTGAAGTTTGTTTTCCCATAATGAAAAAAAGAAATAGGTACCATTTCCCTAAACAGAAACACAGGACTAAGATTGCCTCCTGGCACTTGATACTAGGGTAGCATTTAAAAATAATTGACACAGAGCAACGGATGAAGGATGAATTTCACGTTGGTTCACACAGAAGATGCACTGACTGCACTGTGAAAGGGGTTGGTTTGCTCTGAGAGACTGGTCAGTTCTCCAGGTACACATCTCCAGATCTGATTAGCGATAATACACACATAATTGTTAGTACCGATGTAAAGGTGCCTCAATTGCTAGAAAAGAAAAAAAACTTGCATCTAGAAGCCGCCCCAAAGGTCCATGCCCTAGGCTCCCTGGAACCCAATGCATATTGTTGTACAGCTTCTAACTGGCTGAATGTGAAGAAAGGGAATGCAAAGTTTGTTTTGCCATGGGGCATGGAAATACCTAAAGCCACAACAATCAGATTTTCTAAAAACATAAAAATAACCCCAAACATGCACTCAGACTAGGCTAAGCTTTTTAAGACTAGACTGGAACTGCTATTTTATGCAGAACATTGTACCATAACAACTTCAGTTCTTTGGATGTACATGATGTCTGCAAAGGTACTGTAGTGTGCATGCTTCCCTCCTGTATTTGAGGTGTAAAAAAAAAGCCAGTTTCTTTTGTCTTCAGTGAGCAAATAAATAGAGAACAACCAGCTCTGTATTTTCTTCCAGAATTTAGATGAACAGCACACAAAATGGTACAACTGGACAGCACTGGAGTGTTGCTCGTATCCCCTTGCGCTATAGAAAGCTTTTTTCTTTTATTAATTTATTAAAATAAGCTATGTGACAGCAGACAGAAGTCTGTGTAGGCAGCAGAGAAATCAAGGTGGACAGACTTACAAGAATCAGATTGAGGAATTAAAGAAACCTTTTTAACTCTGCTAGAACAATATCAACCCCAAGACAAAAAAATAAAATCAGGACAAGCCTGCAATCAAGTTTCATTTCCATTTCACTGAGACAAGTCTGACACTTACAAGAGTATTTCATAGTTTATTGAAAGAGCACTTGTTACAATACAAACCAGTTCTGCTTTTCACAAGGCAGATGCTTGCTCTTTTAAGACAATCCAAAACTTGTTTTTTCTTAAACAATGGACAGATTTGAAAATCCCATTTAATTCCAAGGCAGCTCACTGCTTTCTTTACAGTACAAATGGGTACACAGCATAGATTTCTCATGTGGCAGCTCCTGAAGTGGTTCAATGGGAAGTATCAGAGTCAAATTTCAACATATAAAGGATAAAGAACAAATTTCAACATATAAAGGATAAAGAACAAACAGTGAGGGAGATATTGAAACTACGCTGCATGTACTGATAAATATAGCATCCCCTAATTTGGCAGATCCCCAAATTCAGATTGCTTGAGAAATGATGTTGAAGTCAATCAGAGGAGCCTTAGCGGCATGCATTTCCCCCCACCCCCCCAAATCCACATGTCCCTAGAGAGTCCTAAAGGATATTTAAGAAATCCTCACTAAGGCACAGGTGGATACAAGCCAGCTGTCTAAGCACACAGCACATCAGCACTTAGCAATGGCAGTTAAGCTCACTAAAACAGCACTCCCGTCATGGATGCCACATTTCCATTAACTTGAAAGCCTTTTCATACAGTCTTCTACAGCAGCAGCTGTATTACTGTTCATTAGCTCCATTAATACAGAATTTGGAGTGAGAGGTGTGTGTATTTCTAAATAGTGCAAGGAGACCCACAAGTTCTCACATTGCTTCCCTTCTCAGATGAGGCACTGCACTGTAATTAATATTCAATTCTTAAAGTGGGCCATTATTTTTATAGGAACTTTCCCCCCGCCCCAGGTTTCATTTCTGTAATATCCCCCTAAAAGCCAGGAAAAAGCTGCTCCCTCTGAGCAGACTAGACTCCATTTTGACATGGACTATCCTGTTTCTTTTCTGTCAAACCATAAAACAGAATAAGCGGGGTTGTGTTCCTAGTGCCACACTAAAACAGTGGGTAAGACAGACCGATGGCAACCTATTGTTCACCATCACCACCACATCCAGGCATTTACAGATATTTCTTCTCAGATTTTTAAGCTGAAATAAATTGGCAAAAGTTTTTTAGTGTCTCGCATTAAAATATCAAGTAGCAAGAGTTTTTAATCTCATGTCAGTACATATACTTGCACGGACTTCAAAATTTCTCCATGCTCAATCACGTGGTGGTTTCACATAGGCAGCCACAATCCTCAGCAAAAATGGGACACAGGATAAAATCGGTTTGGTCTTCTCTCACAACCTATCCTACCCAGGCTAACTCTGTTTGGCTCACGTATTCCCACAGAATTGAGAGGATTTTCCCAAGCATGCATTTAAGAGTCCAAGCCTTTTTCAGGATATGAAAGAACTCATTACTCTTGACATGCAAAAAACCAAAGTGCAATGCATTACTAAAACAAGATTCTAAAATAAAGGCAACAGCAAAATATTATTTGCAGCCCAAAACTCATTTTGCAATTCAGACTGAAGCTCAAAGAAAGTATTGCTCCTTTACAGGGCTTCTTTTCTTTAAGAATCAAGACATTTTTGGACATGATGCTTTATTTCCTTCATTCAAGTAGGCCAAAGCATGAGACAAATGCAAGTTACAAAGCCATATTTGGAAACAAAATTAAACATGCCTTAAAAAAAAACCCAACAAAACAGTCCCAAGTGATGGGAGCAGCTTATTCTTTTAGGACAGTTAGAGGACTGACTTTGTATCTCCTACATCAGAGGGCCAATATCCTATCAGTAACATGTGCAGA